CTTCTGGTATATACCTATAATTGAGCACTGCAGACACACAATACTTAATTTTAATATATATGTATAAATGAATATTGTCTCACTACCTTAATTTGTTTGTCCGTTCGTTTCGGTCACTATGCGTGATATCCAATGACCTTCACCAATGAACCAGACCGTTTCCCTGTGCTTATTTTATTTCGTAACCTATTGTCATGGTGATCACGTTTTTAACATTGACAACGAATTACTTTGGACTTTTTTAATTTATGTTAAGTTTCCCCTGTTATTTTATGTAATGCTTGAACAGTAGTTCAGCGGGTGTCCCAATTTGTTTTATTACAATTTATGTATTTGTATAAATTGGCGGATATAATGCTTAAGGCATTCTTATCTGTATCGGTCGCCCAAAGGTAATTCAGGTAAAATAATGGTATATGTATTGACACGCAAACATATTCCAATATACACATATTCCAATAAAAACAGTAAATATAGGTACGAAATATATACATACTATATATAGGTGCAGGTATTAAAATTTTGCAAAAAAAATTGTTTTAGATTAGAACCGAAGTCTTACATTTCATAACGCATTACGGCATATACCTTGGGACTTAAAAATGAAATTCGGCATGATTGTGATAGTTATCCGTGCGGCCTCGCAAAACCACATAAGGATTTAGGGAGTAGGTTTGGTTAGTAAATAAGGTCAATAAAAATTCGCGTGGAATATAAGATACTAAAAACTCGATTTGGTTTTTATTTTATAGTTTATTGATGCAGTGACCTACGAGAACCACTTAGCCCGTGTCCAGTATGAGAACGTCAGAGAATAGCTTTAAAAAAATTTAAGATGCAAATTATCTATTAGATTTTTAAAAATTAAATTATGTTCCCAAAACTTAATAACACACATTTAAAAATAATATACACACGCACATTTAAAAATAATATATATTTGAAGTATGAACTTTTTGGCGGGAAAGCGAAGCGCGAAATTGTGTGAATTCTTTTGTTAATTTAACGTATCTACAAGTTTAAATGTGTAATAACGGTTTATTAACTATTTAGTATCTGTGAAAGTGCACGAATGTGAGAAAATGAAACAATACCAGTGGACGTGGCTTCTCGGGCTCTTCCAAAAAGTCCAATAAAACAGTCTCAATAACTAACCACCATTTTACTCAGAATTTATTTCATCCAAACTCATTTCGTTCCATTTAATTTCATCCCAATTCATTAAAATCTCAAAATAATCAATATGTAATATTTATTTAATTATTGAAGATTTTTATAAACTTGACACCGGCAACAATGGCGTCGCAAGAAACCAATTGCCATAATTAAAAAAATGAAAGAAGGATGATAGAAAGATCCTTACTCTATAAAGACGAGAGCGCAGCCCATATAGCAACGATACTAATGTTGCGCTATCGGATAATTCGCTAAAGTAAATATATCACGCATTCTCCTTACAAGCTATACATTACTGTTGCGGACACACAATACCACCAGTAAATAAGCTTAACTTTCCAATGCGCGAGTGCTGGATGTACGAACGAACTGACAGTCCGCGTGGTATTCACGAGTTATAAAGGGTGTTTCAGAATGTTTTTCGTTTTTGAATTGACTACTCGTTACTGCCATATGATCCGGACCTTTTTGGATACAGAAATGCAAAACCAGTATGGCTGCAACCGCAACACCTTTTTCCAGCAAGATAGAGCCACTTTTCATGTTACAAATGACTCATTAACTGCTCTTCAAGACTTATTCCCTGGAAGAGTGATAAGTCGCCGAGGATACATCAACTGGCCACCGAGGAGCCCTGATGTAACGCCTGCTGATTTTTTCCTATGGAGCTACCTAAAAGTTACAGTAAAGTTTACAATCCATTGCCACCCAACCTGAATACTTTGAAGCAAAGAATCACGGAAGAAATCAACTCTTTTTCCAAGAGCGATGCTCCAGCGAGTGATTGAAAATTTTAGCTCAATTTTAAATGAGTGTGAACAAGTGAATGGTGCGCATTTGCAAACGGTTGTTTGTCATAAAATAAACTTCAAGAACTGCTCTTTAATTTAACAATAAATAACACGAGTTTTAATAAATATTGTTGTTTTTTATTTAACATCTAAAAACGAAAAACATTCTGAGACACCCGTTAGAAGCCCATAGGCATCACAAAGAGAATGCCACCGCCCGCTTCGTAAAATAAGGTCTCAATCTTATTATATACCGGCCACCCGACCTCTAGGCTTAAATTCTTGGTGATAGAAATAGGAAATATGATGAAACCTAGTAATACAAGCTTAGAGCACGCCCACCGTGGCTGTTTACGGACCACGCTCACTACTGTATCTCGATGTATCTTAGAATAATTATAAATTTCAAAATATCCGCTTTGTTTTCCCTTTTTTTATTGCTTAGATGGGTGGACGAGCTCACAGCCCACCTGTTGTTAAGTGGTTACTGGAGCCCATAGACATCTACAACGTAAATGCGCCACCCACCTTGAGATATAAGTTCTAAGATATCAGTATAGTTACAACGGCTGCCCTACCCTTCAGACCGAAACGCATTACTGCTTCACGGTAGAAATAGGTAAGGCGGTGGTACCTACCCGCGCGGACTCACAAGAGGTCCTACCACCAGGATACACTGGTTTATTCATTTTTATGTACTACCTATGATGCTTAGATTAATTAAACGATTAGAGAACTAAGATAAGATATTGGAACAACAACTAACTTATCCATCTAACCTCAGGATTGTTTCACGGCAGATCTCAACCGGATGGTTGTACCGATGCAGGCTCACAACATACACAGCACACAGCGGGTGGGTACCACCACCCTGCCTATTTCTGCCGTGAAGCAGTAATGTGTTTCGGTTTGAAGCGTAGGGCGGCCGTTGTAACTATACTGAGACCTTAGAACTTATATCTCAAGGTGGGTGGCGCGTTTACGTTGTGGATGATCTAGTAACCACTGGGTGGGCCACCAGGTGGGCTGTGAGCTCGTCCACCCATCTAAGCAATAAAAAAATAATAAAAAACAAACCCTAGCCACGAGAGCTTACAACAGAAACTCGATTCGATTATTTCTATTTAGCTGTGTGATGTAAGAACAGCAGCGTCCCATTTCATCTCATAGGTTCGTAAAAGACGACTAAGGAATTAATCGGAGAATACGAACACATTTACCGGTGGTATGGTCTACAGTATATTTTTATTGCTTAAACGGATGGAAGAGCTCACGGCGCACCTGGTGTTAAGTAGTTATAAGAGCTTATAGACATCAACAATGTAAATGCCAACATCCACCTTAAAGAACTATTTAACTAGACTATTATGATGCAATATATTCTCATACACATCTCGTGGCTCTATTAGAAAAAACTTATTTAAGTGGCCCTTCAGAGACAATAACAGTTTCATTGATTTTTTTTATATATATTTTTGTTACTCTCTTTCGTTGCACAATGGAGTGACATATACACTAGGTGAATAATCTCCTTAAATAAAGATATAAAAAAACACTTTTTTAAGAAAAAAACGTATTGTTTTTACTAAATTTTGAAGTGAAACATCTATAGCCGCACGTAAAACCGATTTCTGGCGTGGCGACGCAAGCCGTGGCGATGCGTCGCCACGCTATATGATGGTATATATATACAGTCTATATGCAGTAGTGTGTACGGTGTGGCGACGCGTCGCCATGCGCAATCGACTGTGCAATTTGTTTGTGTGTAGTGTATACAGTGTTGTTTACTACAGTACACATAACCTGTGTTTTACTTGAAAACAAATTATTTTTTCGCAATATTTTATTTTATCAATCTGTTCTTTTCTGCATGTTACTTTTACAAAATAATGTCGATGTTTCACATCTGCCAGGCGTCCCGTGACGGCTCACATTTTTTTTATATTAAAATCCATAGGGTTTTTTTTCTGTGTGTGTACATAAAAATGCAAGTCGCATTTGTTTGTGTTAGTTGTGTTGTAGCCGTAACTTCTTAAACTATCCGTATATATGAGTCGACTATTATCAAAGCCGGCAATGTGACTTTTGGACAATTATTGGTAAATCAGAAAAACGAATTATTGACTTTGTATTCCATTGGCAATCACAAAACTCTTCTGAACGACATCTTAGATAAATAACAGGTTAAGTATTAACCTTTATTTAATGCAGGTTTTGAACCGTATTCTTTGAAGGAGACGATTATATTCAAATCAATCTGTATTTACCTATCAATAACATTTTTTTGTCCAAATGCACAGATTGCCACTTTTGATAGATAATAGACGACTCATATGTGCGAGCATGCAAAATGCTGTGCGAGTTAATACGGGAAACAAATAAAACAATTTCATTTAGTTTCATTTATTGTTTTTTTTTTTAAATTATTAAATAACATCGGCCCTATTTACAGTTTTACAACAAAATAAAAACATTACATACAGCGTTAATATTCGCAAACAATGTCTACAATATACATTAATTTATATATATTTTTTTCGTATACGTACACAGAGTTCGGTCGATTGGATTCAATCGAGCGAAGTCTGTCTCGTGAACAATTTGTTAAAAAACCTTATCCGTGGAACTTAATTCGGGGGTCCATGCAAACTACCCATGCATCAAAAAACTGCAACTACTGAGTTAACAAAAGAATAATAATTTACTATCAACATGTTACTCCACCGTTAATTAGTAAAGTAACACATTCAAATTATATCTATTAAAATAAGACTACACGTGCTGTAAACTAAAAGAGTTGAACTGATAATTAGGCAAACAAATCGATTTCGAAAAATCTATACAGAATTACAACAAAAATACTAGCTAATTCAACGTGCAAACAAAAAAATAAATACAAACATTGCAATTCTAGTTTAGCAAGAAATTATAACTATTTTTGTATTAAGAAGAACAGTTCACTGTTACAGCACGTGTAGAGAGATTAGTTCTAACTACAATTTGACTAGGCCATTCATCGTCCGTAGGCTTTACCTTGGGAGCCGGGGGGCACGAACCCATATCCGGAAGCACCGACCACCACTCCGCTTGTCTGCGAGGGGTCACCGGCCGGCGAGGGGGGAAACAGCACCGGACCTGAAATTTCAAAGCCGGCGATCAGAATGCGTCATTATCTTATCTTATATCTTTAAACGAGCAATTCTTGTATATAAATTTATATATATATATATAATTTTTTTTATTTTTTATTTATTTATATATTTATAAATTTATATAATCTGAATCTCCGAAACGGCTCCAACGATTTTCATAAAATTTTGTATACAGGGGATTTCGGGAGCCCGGGATAACTCTATCTAGCTACGATTAATTTTCAGAAAATGTTGTTTTATTGGTGTTTTCAATAAAAAACTTTATCGATAATTTTGATTTTTTCTTTAAATAACCAGTTCATATTTTTTTTATTATTCTGTCGGTAAGATCGAAAAATATTATTCATATTTCATTGTTTTATCAGTATTTAATTCGTATTTAAATATAAATTAAAAAAAAACAGATTCTGGGCATTATCTAGTTTATGATAAATATTAAATCTCAACCCTTTGCTCTCATATCGTTGTGAGTAGATTCTTAAAATAATTGAAGGCAGCTTTAGCAGCTCCAAGTCCGTTTTGTTGTAGGCTTAGAAGATAATATATTATTATTAATTCTATTATAAGTCATCGTTTTTCATAACATTCTTCCCGGAAAACTTTGATATAACCTACAAAGCCGCCTGTGTACTCATAATTACTGTATAAACTACATGCTTATGTATGTTGGTTTATTTGTTTATAATTAAATTGTCAAATTTTCACAGAACTTAAAACACCGCGAATCGCGAAGCCTCTCAAAGAATAAAACCTTGACGATTTTTTTTTATAATTTCTCATCTTAAATATAATATTCAAGATTTTAAATATTATTTATTTTAATAAAATTTAAACCAATTGTACCAGTCTTTAAAAATGATATATTTATTATGTACAAATCACCGTACAGTTTTGTTGTATTCATTATTATTAATCATAACTATCAATTAATAAAATTGATTTTCCTTTAAATACTAAAGCTTAAAAAGACAAATTAGAATATTAGATTATTAATGTCAATAAAATTTGAAAATTTTTATTATTTAAAAATCTTTTAATTGTATCTTTGAAGAAAAAAATTCGATATTAGTTAATAATCACATGTACATAAATATCAAGATTGTCATCAGTTATCACGTCATTTGAAATAAAGAATAGTCACTTTTTGACATTGCTTAGTTAACGACTACGTGACTAATGTTCAAACTATTAATCAGATCAATTGAACGCGGTGGGCCAGAGGTTAACAGCTACTGAACATAAAATAGAATATCAAATTCGAACTTTAAATTTTAATACACGATCGATAAGATGAATTCCAGAAGTTTTTCCGAAAAGCTTTTGATGTTAGTTCACGTGTGAATATAATTTTTTTTCATTACACGTATTTTTTCCTTTACTTTTTACCGCATAAAAACATCCTTATGTTATTTTTTTAATACATTCACATTAAATTAATTTATTTTATGTAGTCATCTATACATTGCATGGTAAAATAATCATAATGTTTTCGTTTACAGTATAATTTTAAATAAAATTAAACTTTTATATTTTCGAACGATCCAGACAAAAAAAAAAATGAGAAACACCACTAATAGATACTTGTCTCCAAAATGTAATTTGGCAATACTAATTTGTTGCGAATCAGATCAAATTACGTAACACGAAACGCATTATTAAAGCTAAAAAAAAAAACAAACAATAAAAATACTTTCATAACGACCTTCGCAAAATATCAATTAATTATTAGGACATTAAGTTATGTAGGCTGTTTCAAATGTAGGTTCGACGAATTAAGATTGTGCACGTTGAATTAGGTTTGCGAAATTGTATTATGACAAACGTTCGATAAATTTAGTTAAACATTATTAATGAGTATGTAATTTACTTGATGACAGCTTCGATTATTTAACTCGAAAAACGTTTAACTATGAATGACACATGACTCCTGATCATTAGAATTTATATATATACTAATATTATAAAGCTGAAGAGTTTGTTTGTTTGAACGCGCTAATCTCAGGAACTACTGGTCCAATTTGAAAAATTATTTCAATATTAGATAGCCCATTTATTGAGGAACGCTATAGGCTATATAATATCACGGTAAGACCAATACAAGTGGAGCACCAATAAAGAAAATTTCAAAATAGGGGTTAAAATAGCTCCTTAACATATTTTCACTTTCTACGTAAATGAATTGGGGGGTAGAATTTAGCGTTATGCCAAAGTAACTATTCCACCCGGACGTAGTCGCGGGCAAAAACTAGTTCTATTATATTATAGCTTCGTTTGTGTGCACAATAACCAAGATGTTACATAGCAGACTAATGGGTCGAATAACTGGATAATAATTACACTACATTGCTTCGAGATTCAAGGATATTTGAACAACAAAACGAATACCGGACTAACAAATTGTTTATAATTAAAACTAGTTATTTTTTTTTTATTACTTAGTTGGGTGGACGAGCTCACAGCCCAACTGGTGTTAAGTGGTTACTGGAGCCCATAGACATCTACAACGTAGACGCGCCACCCACCTTGAGATATAAGTTCTAAAGTCTCAGTATAGTTACAACGGCTACCTCACCCTTCAAACCGAAACGCATTACTGCTTCACGGCAGAAATAGGCAGGGCGGTGGTACCTATCCGCGCGGACTCACAAGTGGTCCTACCACCAGTAAAAAAGCAAAGTTTTTATTAGTTTAACAATATCAATATCAAAGGAATCCATATTCGTTATTTCTATTAGTCGTGTTTGCTGAAGACTTCGCGTAAAAGTTGACCGATTTTGCCGCAATATTTAGAATTTGAGATCGATTATTGTACTTACAGAAGAAATGTTGAATGTGTACGGGGATTCATTCCTAAAGGGTCCACATTGGCAAATCATTTTGAGCATTCAATAATTTCAAGGCTTTTTAAGAAGATTTTAAGCGAATTTACTTTGATTATTAACATGTCACTTTATATGATATGCCGTAAACAGATTTTATGAAGGCCACGCATCTTTTAATGGAAGTGCTAGTTTCTTACCATGTATATAAATAAAAATTGTTTCAGATATGTATATACATATATAAAAATCAAGAAAACACACATTGTTCTTCTTAATTTCGATAACGTGTGTAACGATTTTAAAGCAATGAACTAACTAGCTCTATAAAATCGATTACCGTGAGTATACAAAGCAGGTAATTGTGAAAGACAGGCGCCTTTATTGCGTTTCGCAACGTTGTTGTACTTAAAGTCCTTTTACTTCCGTCTCGGACCTGCTAACCAACAAGCTGGCCAAGCTATTGCATTACAAAACAATTATTGTAACACGATCTTCTATGTGTAAGAATAATACGACCAAAAACAAAACTACCGCAAAGTGTGAAGTGTCACTTCACGTGTCTAAGAAGATTACGACCTTAATACCGATGCAGTTCAATTGTCTGCATTATATGACATGTTGTTCTTTAAACAAACATTGCAGAGATTCTTATAAGCAACATAGCTGCCTCTTTGGTATTTTTTAAGTCGACAGCTGACGGTGAGCACTTATCATCAGGGGGATTGGATTCTCGTCTATTCGAAGGCAAAAAAAATGTCTGAAAGCGAACTTCGGTTACTTATGAGATTAGAAATTAGACGCACGGGTAGTATGAATTGCTTGTACTTACAAAATCGTGCGTAAATATTCGTTCTTAAAGAAAAATATAAAAGGACAAATAATGTGACATTTCAAAAAGTAAAATCTTATCTTTCGTTCCTTTTATTCTAAATCAATTAACAAAATACTAATGAACAATCATTGACTAAAATTACAAAGCTTCAACAACATTACGTAAGTTGTTTAAACCATACAATTCGCATTCACGCTACTGTTTTTTTTTTATATAGCAACTTGCATGTTTACTATCCGTTACACACATCAATAATCATAACATTTACAAATTATTCAGTCGATGGAGCCTTCGCCGGCGTTTTACGATCTAGTCGGCCTTGTCTTTATTGTATGTTGCTATGCAACTATCAGAAGGAAGCCTGAACACACATATTTCATTCAAACAAGTCGTTTTTAAGATTTACAAAGTAAATAAACACAATTACTTATATCATGTGTCGCGTATGTCAGGTTTACTTGATAAAGAAGTTAATACTACCATTTACCCAACGTCTGTTGTAAAGTTTACTATTGTCAAAAAAAAGACTTACATCTGTGTGCTTAGTTCGAGCTTTTTAACGTTGTCGATAGCGTAAAAGTTAACTCATATATGTATGGAATGGGATCGTTTGCGTACGTATGCCGCTAGGGGCGCTGTTCTAACTGCATACAAAATTGGGTTAACTTTTACGCTATCGAGAACGTTAAGAAGCTCGCACTAAGCACACAGATAGACAACAAGAAGATTGTTACGTTTATGTAGATATGAAATAAGGGACATCATAAAAAAATTAAGTCTTCATTAAAGTTTATAATGATAAAAAAGCAATATCAATACTTAAAGAACAAAATTATTTTCTCTCGTTGTGTAAGAAAATTTACGCACTAATAACATTGCCATGACATTGCGAACAAAACAGACCAAAACATGCATCGTTGCAATCGCGCAGCCAAAGGTTTTACAACTTCCACGTACATTTTAAATGAAACACCAGCTACGTTAATTAAGTGATTTTTATCTCAGTTGTTTTGAAACGGCCGCTGATCTCACTGACAATTTATTATTTGAAAGTACTTAATCCGAAAGAGGTGTTATGAAAACAGTAATTTTAGACAAGAGCTACCTACAAACTTTGCAAGCAACGTATTGAGCTGTAATTTATAAGTAATTTTAAGTTAGGCTTCGACTTATGTAGTATATACTATTCACATGTAAATATACAGGGGATACAAGTCATTTTTGGAAATATGTATTCTCACTACATACCTGTTTCAATAAAAACCAAGGTATTTAATTCCACATTCGATAGAACCAAAAAAAGTGTCAAAGAATGTTGTTTTTATTAAA